CTTAATCACTGTGCATCTCCAAGGGCACTCCGAATCGGGTGAATACCTCGTTTACCAACTTCGTGGCTACAGTTACTGCCTCTTGATTCGGTATGGCAAAGACCTCCGGCCATTTTGTAAAATAATCCATAACCACTAAAACGTAGCGATTGCCCGAATCAGTGATTGGAAATGGTCCAGCGATGTCTAAGGCTATTCTCTCCCAAGGCATACCAACATTGTAGATTTTCATCGCCCCTCTGCTTCTTGTTTGTGGACCCTTGACAGCTGCACAACTAGTGCATTTCCGGCACCAATCTTCGACGTCATATTTGCAATGCAACCAATAAAACCTCTCCTTGATCTTCACCAAAGTCCTCCTAATTCCCAAATGTCCTCCAGAAGATCCATCATGGAACGCTTTTAATACATCCCTTATTTTTGAACGAGGCACCACCAATTGCAAATGCTCGTCCTTGCCGTTTGTTGATTCCCATTTCCTGCACAGAAGTCCGTTATGCAGCGTAAGGCTTTTCCACTGTGCCCATAAACCTTTCGTTACCGCGCTATATTGGGCGACGTCACTCCAACTTGGCTTGTTACCACTTCGTAGCCACTCCAGTATTGGTTTAATATCTGCATCTCTTTCCTGTTCTAATTTCATCGCATCATCTCCCCATGCCTCGTCAACAGTATCAGTCCTTATCACCTTAAGAAAAGCAGTTTCCTTCTTGGCACAATGCTTGCAATCTTCCACGCATGGGCGTCTCGATAATGCATCTGCGTTGCCATGAATTCTTCCGCCGCGATGTTCGATTTCAAAGTCAAATTCCTGAAGTTGTTCCAACCATCTGGCTACTTGGCCTTCGGGATCCTTAAACTGAAGCAGCCATTTCAAAGCAGCGTGATCTGTTCTGATCAAAAATTTCCGTCCCAGTAAATACTTCTTGAAATGGTGCAGAGTTTTAACTACGGCCAGCAATTCCCTCCTGGTCACGCAATAATTCCTCTCCGGCTTGGATAGTGACTTGCTGAAGTAAGCAATAACCTTCTCCTGCTCACCATCGCGTTGTGAAAGGACACCTCCTATTCCAATATTGCTGGCATCCGTATCTACTACGAATATTCCTTTCGCGCTGGGGTATCCGAGAATTGGTGTGTTACAAAGCCCTTCCTTTAGTTCTCGAAAGGCTTGCTCACAATCCTCGTCCCAGATAAAGGCACGTTTCTCCTCTGTCAATCGATGCAAAGGCTTGGCTGGATCAGTCTCAATTCCTCTCTCAGAAATAACATGTCCTAGATAATTCACTTCGCGCTTGAAGAAAGAGCATTTCTTTGGACTCAACTTTAAATTTGCTCCACGCAGCTTGTCGAGTACCTTTTCTAATTTCCTTAGATGATCGTCAAAATCCCGTCCAACAATGATGATGTCATCGAGGTAAACTAGGCAGGTTTCGCCCAGCAGTCCCGCCAGCACCTGTTCCATCAAACGCTCAAAGGTTGCCGGTGCATTGCATAATCCAAATGGCATCACCTTAAATTGCCAGAGTCCCTTCCCAGTTGAGAATGCGGTCTTTTCCTTGTCCTTGGGATCCAAATCCACCTGCCAATAGCCGCTTTTTAGATCGAGCGTTGAAAACCATTTCATGCCACTCAGTGTGTCAAGTGTGTCATCGATTCTTGGTAACGGGTAGCTATCCTTCTTGGTTACATCATTCAATCGTCGATAGTCTACGCAAAACCTCGTTGAACCATCTTTCTTCTTGACAAGCACGACAGGTGAACACCAAGGGCTAGAAGAGGGCTCTATCACGTCATTTTTCCTCATATCGTCAATCATTTCTTCAACCTCTTTCTCACGAGCGAATGGTATACGTCTGGGCCTTTGACGAATTGGCATTGTATCACCTGTGTTTATTTTATGCTTCACCAAACCAGTTCGGCCAATATCACCATCGCTTCTTGAAAACACATCAGAGAATCGAAGAAGTAAATTTCTAGCTTTCATAGTCTCCACTTTTGTCAGACTTTTGTTTTCGTCTAAGATTTTCGTTACAAAGTCTATTCCCGTACTGTCCTTCTTCACAAGATTTTCCGAGCATTTTCTTATCCAGGCCACTTCTTCCAATACGCCCACAGGCTCTCCTTCTTCAATCGTAATTTTTGAATCACTGAAGTTGAATACCGGAATGCGGTTGACATCAGATGACCCCACGACAGTTCTTGCCGGTAGCCATGAGTTTACGTGTTCCGATTTATCAATCACAGCGCACCTTCGAGGTAAACTTCCTTCCCTCCTCCTAGGTAATGCAATTGGTACGAGAGTCTGTGATTTTGGTGCAAGAACAGTTCTTCTTAAACAGCAAACTTTTCCCAGGGTTCCACCCTTCATCGGAATTTCCTCAGTTCCACATAGTAATACTCCAGATTTTAAGTCGATGTTACACTGGTGCCCTTGCAGGAAGTCAAGTCCCAGGATGCAGTCATCCAGAATTTCGGCCACAATAACCTCATGTCGATAAACACGTTCCCCAATTTTGATTGTTACATGCAGTTTTCCACTTATCGGTATGCACTGGCCGGTAGCTGATTTCATTCGTAGGCCAACAATTGGTTTAAGGTGTTTCCTGATGTTTTGCCCAAACAGCCGAACATTTATCACCGTCCTTGAAGCTCCAGTATCTAATGTTAGCTGACTGTTTTTCCCATTTACTTGACCGTCTATCACCAGTGTATTTCCATCGTTGGTTTGCTTGATGTAGATTGTTGGGGTTGTTCCACTTCCAGCCAGCGCCCACCCCGCAGCCTTGGCTGGATTTAAGTTTCCCTGCTGGTCAGAAGTTGAGACCGCCGCGTCCTGGCGGTTCATCTTCTTCGGGCAGTCGCTCCGTATGTGCCCACGCTCTCCGCATCCATAGCACATGAAGTTCCGACGGCGTGGAGGTACCTGCTCCGTTGTCGTCATTTCCCGCAGACCTAAGGTACGGGGGTTGCCACGCACGGCTTCCACTTCCAATGCATGGGCCAGAGCTTCTTTCATGTTCTTGTGATGGCCCAGATGAACAGCAGCTCGTACTTCGGGGTCCCGAATACCGTCAATGAATGCTTGGAGAAGCGTGCCTTCAATCATTGACGGAGTCGACCGGAAAGCTCGACGCACAAGTTTCTCGATTTCCACGTACCATTGCTGTAGGCTCTCATTAGCACGCTGAGTACGCTCTTTTAATTGCGCTCTGTACACGTGCTCGAGGTGGCTGTCTCCAAAACGTGCCTCCAGTGCGTCGAGGAGGGCACTAAAGCTGAGATCCCCACTTGCGCCGATAGCTTCCAGCACTGAGAGCGCTTGATCACGGAGGGCCAGGGTGAGGGCTGACTGTGCTTCCTTCTGAGTCCAACCATAAGCCTCCATAAGTGTCTCGAACTGTAGCTTGAACGCGGTCCAGGATGTTGTTCCGTCGTAATGGGGAATCTTGAGCCCTTTCGTTGCGCTTGAGGCCGCATTTGGGGCGTCAAAAACGGCTGCAAGACGGCTTCGGCTCTTCAAAGGGCTTGGGCTTGTCATTTCCTGCTTGATTTTGGAGATCTCTTCTTCCACTCTCTCCTCTATGGCCATGACGCGATGTTCCAACTTGCCTAACCCTTCCTCCACTTCCTGTACCCGTTCGACAGCCTTTTGCAGTCCCTTCGTGAAATCCTTGTGCATCTCTTCCAAGCGACGCGCTTGCTCCTCTTGGCGGCGAGCTTGATCTTCTTTGAGCTCCCGAAGCTGTTCTGCCTGACAGCGTGCTTGCTCTTCTTGGCGGCGCGCTTGCTCTTCTTGCCGGCGCGCTTGCTCTTCTTGGCGGCGCGCTTGCTCTTCTTGGCGGCGCGCTTGCTCTTCTTTCAGCTCCCGCAGCTGTTCTGCCTGACAGCGCGCTTGCTCTTCTTGGCGGCGCGCTTGCTCTTCTTGGCGGCGCGCTTGCTCTACCATCATTTGCTGCAGCTGTAGCAGAAGATCCACCTGCACAGGCTTGGCTTCTGCATCGCTGATTTGAGCTGCAGCACCCTCTTCCCTCACACGCTGCGCTTCTGACATTGCGCGGGTACTCACTCCTCTTACGTCCTGCGGCACTAGCGGCATTTTTCTCCAATCCCACTTCTGACACCAAATGTTACGTGCCTGACTATGCGGGCTTGGGTTACGGGATTGGATGAAATGAAACACTAATACCGGTTTTCAGACTTTCTATTGCACTTAAGTTACAGCGTCCACGGAGTTAAGTTATCGGCGTTCCTCTCCAGCAGAGTCCGGCCGACTGACACAACCTTGCCGTTCACGCTGACTTAACTCACTTAACTGACTGCACTGCACTATTTCACTGCACTTCACTATTTCACTCACTTTTCTTCTTTCTCACTTCTTTCTTTTCTTCCGAATCGCTTTAGACTTAGAACTCAACTGCCAGCGGTGAGCCGTAGTTCTGCTTATATACCCCCGGTCAGGTTCTGGAACATTCAATTTCGTTATTCTTTTTGATCGTCATGCCTCCAGAACCTTCCAATAATTTCGCTATTCATTTTTATTTATTCTCCTTCTCACTCTTTAATTTTTCATCTCTTTCACACAAATAATTCCAGAAAGTTCGACAAAACTTCCATCAACTAAAAAACTTCATGTTTACGGCGGGACTCGAACTCGGGGTCTCTGTGGTGTAATCCACACGCCTTACCAATTACACCAACTCGTATTGACAATTCACGACGAAATTTACAATCTCTAGGCAACGTTTGACAACCATCCATTGACGTCATGATGTCAAAGAGTTTGAACCACTTTTCCGTCACAGTATGTAGGGGGTAATCTTTGGAACTGCTGGTCGGATTTCCAAAATTCTTTCGATGATAAATAGCTATAATGTTGCTGAGTCCTAAAGTTTATTTTATTCGAGTACGGGAGGTAGTTCCCCCGGGACACTTGCATGAACAGTTAGTCTGAAATAAAATTGACCTAACTACATTTTTTTTCCGACTTCATTTTACAGGTGAAAATGTCGTACATTGAGATTTACAACGAGATTATAAGAGATCTACTGAATCCAAGCGCCGGGCCCCTGGAACTTAGAGATGAGGGCGGCAGCGGTGCCCCTGTGGTGGCGGGCTTAAGTGAGCTGAAGGCTAACAGCGCTGCTCACGTAGCTGAGCTACTTGCGAGGGGAGACCGATCACGCACTGCAGAGCCCACACATGCCAACCAACATTCTTCCAGAGGACATGCTCTTCTCAGGTATTTATTAAACAGATTGGATGAAATATCAAACAAGCAAGGAAGAAAACAGTAAAGAAAATACATAGGCAATTTTAAAGTTTAAGGTGTCACATCTTCTACTGGATAAGATTTCGAAATCGTTTGTATGATTACTCCTACAAATAATACTGCAAAAGTAATAAAATTAAACTATCTAGCGAAGTAGACATAAGTTTAATATTTTTTATTCACAATGTAATGTTTGTAGCCTTGTAAGTCAGTTGGCATATTAGGGTAGGGTTTTTTGCAGAACCAGAATAAATTTAATACAGATTCTTAGACGAACACATTAAGTTTCAAGTTTTTTGATCGACATGGCACCTATGATTTCTTGTTAACTGTGCCTCCGCGTTGTGATTTTATGTAACGCGTAGTTAATTATACTTATTTTTTTGTAATGCAAAATGATTTGTGTTTTATAGTGTGACTGTCAGTCAGCAAGTGGAAAAGGGAACACAGCGTGGCCGTCTTTTCCTAATCGATTTGGCGGGATCGGAGCGAGCCGGTTTACGTGCGCGACGACTAGAGGGCGCACACATCAATCGATCACTTTTAGCACTGGGGAACTGCATCATGGCTCTTTCGGGTGGTGCAAGGTTAGAAAAATATGTTGTATTGTTATCTTGAAGTTAAAATAATAATATATTATGGTATGGCCAACAAAAAGAAGAAGGGATAGGTAGGTAAAAAGGAATTTAGATGATAAATTTTAGTTTGCCTTGCATATACCAGTTGAAGGTCCTAACGGAAGTTCCATGGCGTGGTTGGCTGCATTCGCCTAACAAAGTGCCTTGAACATTCTGTTAGCAATAGATAGTGCTACAATAATGAGTGTTAGAACATTTTTGAAGTGAGAAAACGATGGATGTTTTCTTAAAAAAAAAAAATAATCATCAATGAATTGCTTAAATTGGTTTTTTTATGTCAACACAAAGAACGTATAATTTGTTAAATTTAAAGAAATCAACGTAAGGCTCTAGGTGTTAAGAGCGTCTTAACACCTAAAGAGAATTTGCTATCACAAAACAATCAGGAGTCTATACGTATGATAGTACTACTTACTGCACTATATACCCACTTTTAATTTATTTTTTATCCTTTACAGGTATGTAAACTACCGTGACTCGAAGTTGACACGCCTTCTCCGTGAAGTACTGGGAGGGCGCTGCCGTACCGCCATGGTGGCTCACGTAGCACCGGGCGCAGCTCACCGCGACACCACACGGTCTACCCTACACTACGCACAGAAAGCATCTTCTATCACCAATAAGGTACACACTATGAAAGACTATTTAGAAAATTCTTATATTAGGTTGTAGGGTTATTAGTAAGTATCTATTGTATTGTTTTGTTCCTATGCGCAGACCAAAACATCAGCAATATAGTTCAATACAGCTGCCAATTTATTTATATAGGTATTATCTCATTTTTATTTCCAAAAGATTTTTTTTATAAAGAGTATTTATTCCATTTGTTTGCTTGTTATGTTACGAGACTACAAACACAAATACTTAACATAACATTAAATATGACACATATCGGTATACTATGGCAGACTTAGACTGAGACTTCGAAAACTAATTTTCTTTAACTTGATGAATTTAATTTAAAGGATTCGTGGATTCATCTAAAAACCTTTGCTCAACAATCGTACTTAACAAACCATGCTATATTTTTCTAAATCCAAAACAATCAACTTATATCGATTTACATCGTTACAGGAAAAATATTTTTTTTCTTTCGTAAGAAATGTATATTAATGACGGTGGTGTGTGATTTCAGGTGGAACGTGAATTGGTAGAAACACCGATGCCTCTGTCGCAGTACCGGTCAGTCATCAACGAGCTGCGCGAGGAAATCGCTCGACTGAAACTTAAGATGAAGGACGATAGAACAATGTTAGTTTTTTGCCCGTTCATTAATGCAATGTGTTGTATCAGGTTTAAGATAACCCAGGAAAGGTCTTGCGAGATTATACACAGAATTTTCTCGAACTTCCTTTTTTTATGTGATAGGTCGGCAAACAAGTATAAGTATTATCTAATAATGGTAAGCAATTAGCGCCGTCCATGGACACTCGCAACAACAGGGAAGTTACGAGTGCGTTGTCGATCTTTTGGGGATTAGGGATTTGGAGATTTAAGGATTGGGGGAGGGGAAGGATTGGGCCTCCGGTAACCTTAGTCACTCCGGGAAACACAACGCTGTGGTTGTTTCAAGCTGGTTTTCTGTAAGGCCGTGGTATCACTCCGGTCGAGCCGACCCATTCTTGCCGAAGCATGGCTCACACACTTCCTTCAATATTGTCGTGGTAATCTCACCATTATTATTTAACGTTGAACAGTAAACCAGAAATCGCCAGAGTCCAAGAAGAAGAGATTAGCAAAGAAGATGCAGCGGAAAACGCAGCGCACCTAAAGTCATTACGGGAAGCCATTGTGTCCACATTCAAACAACAAATGCGCTTACGAAGAAGGTTGATGGAGCTTGATAGTCACCTGCTGGGGTTAGCGTTGGATGCAGAACGGCAACACGCTGCCATCTCGCATTGGGAGGCGAGGTTCAACCGCCTCTACAAACCTATCAACGTGCCTGGCTCGAGATTAAGCACCCAACAGAGTTACAGGTATTGTAGAAAAAAGGCATTTTCCTTTAAAAAGTGCTTATTATCATTCCATTTAGGTTAAGAGATCCTTTCTTACATTAAAACATTGAACGTGTTTTAGAACATTCGTTTATTTTTATTCACTTTTTAATATAGACAATAGTAAAGTAATAAATGTATTTAAAGGAAGGAATTATATAATTATATTAGTGGCCACTCTATCGACATGACAGTTAAAAGTAATTCAATTAAGCGTCTTAACCTTAAGACTTAGATCAATAGTATACCTACGGATGTCTAGGGGCGGTACTGGGTTATCATCGAGCAGCAGCGAGCGAGCTGAAGCGGAGGTTGCAGTGGAACAGGCGTGGGCTGAACTAGCTGCCGTCGAGAGGGAACAGGAGTCAGTGCGCACTGAAAGGGAGCGGGTTGAACGACAACTGGAACAAGTCCGCTTGAGAGGAGCGCAATTGGAACAGGTATTACAAAGTTTAATGTACATGACATTGCGATAAACATTACGCAGAGGGTTAGGCAGAATACACCCAAGACGATTTCAGTTATTGTGCTGTGTTATATTTATGGATCGATACTTCACATTCTGCAACCATGCTTATCATTCGACAGGCAAATCAGTCACCAGACACATAGTAGGTACCTACGCAATCTTTCATTGGTATTGAAACGTGTTTTGATTCCAGGAATTACCAGCTACAATAAGCAGTGGGCCAGAACGAGAAGTGTTAGCTTTAGTATGTCGTGTGCACGAACTGGAAGCTGACAAGTTAGCTCTGCAAGGAGAGCGAGCTGCAAGAGCCCATGAACTGCGAAGACGAGACCTGGCATTACAGCGACGAGACGCACAAAGGAGATTATCTGATGAGATTATCACGAGACAGAGGCGGGCATTGCAAGGTTTGTCTTTATTCAACAGTATTTATTACTGTTTTTATAATAACTATCGTGAGACATACTAAATTAACTAAAATTCGCGGGTTACTCACGTGTAAATGATGAGAAAAGCTCTACTAGTTTCGAACCACAGAGGGGTTCTTCCTCATGAGCAGCGTGCGCGGACGCGGCGACGTCGCGCAGCCTACTGGTTAGCGTTGGCGCCTGCATCGCTGTTGATGGTTGCGCTGCGGCGAGTCCAACGCGCCATCTGCCGGATACCACGCGCGTTTGCTGCCATCTCCGGCGGCGGCGCGTGTGACGATGTTGAGGCGCACGTTACGTTCACCAGTGGCGCGGGTAGTGGGTTCGGGTAGTGGGTGGGAACCCACTACCCGCGCCACTGGTGAACGTACCGTCAACAGTATTTATTACTGTTATTAAATAATAATGGCTTAAAATTAAACTATGTTCATTACGTAATGTAACAATACGCATTTCTTTCCCCAAAGTTATAGGTTCTTTCTCCGATTCTAGATAGTTGTGTTATGAATCCCATAGGCTCATTTAACATGTGACCACAGCGTTATTTTAATATCCGTAGAACTGTTCGTATGTTAAATGGAAAATATTTAAAAAAGAAAAGTACGATAAGTAAACATTCATCGATTTCAGTACTGATAAAATGACTGAAAAAATGCTCCTTTCCAGATGTGGGTGTCGGTGTGTCGCCTGAGCTGGCCCAGCTGTACGAGCTGTATCAACAAGAGATCCACGCGTCCACTTACGCAGAGAGCAATGATATATTCACTCCTCCTTACCGCTTACCACCTATCTCCACCAGGTACGACAATATACACTTATATGAATTACGTAAGGTTGATTTTCGAATGTCAGATTTCAAATATTACGATGTGCATTTGTTAGAAGAATCTACATTAAATATCAAACAAAAAGTTTTAACACATAATATTTAGGTTATTTTCTGTGCCTTTGACAACTAAAAGCTTTTGGCCAGGCTTGATTTATTTGAACGTCTGTAACATGAGAGTCTCGCTCGGGTATTGGCGATCTAAACTTATATTAAATTCGATATTTCAGTATGTCTGAGCTGACATGGTCGGAGAGTTCGAGTGGGTCGGGGCGAGGGTCGAGTTCAGGCTCCGGCGGTACGCTGATGTACGACTACCGTCTGCCACGACTCGCACCCACACCGAGACCGAGGACCAGATACAGGTACGTATTTCAGATAACTATTATAAAATTCAGAGTGTCATATACCTAACTATAATTTCGTTCGAACTCGTTGGTCAAGCGGGCTTAGTTAGCAAAAATTTTCGCTTTTTAGCAATGATCCAGGATAGTATTATTGAACAGTCTTATCACACATCATCACAGCATTAGCCTATAAGTGCACATTACTGAACAAAGGTCTCTTCTCACACGGATAAGGTTTTACCACGACTTCAAAATTATAATTAGAAATTATAAGTCCAGATTTCCCCATGATGTTTTCCTTCACCGCATGTCAGTGGTATCTAAATAATCATAGAAAGTACGTATAAATCGGAAAATAGTCACATTGGTACTTGCCAGGTTGTGAACCTGCTCCCTCATGCATGAGAAGCGGGCGCCTTAACCACCGGGAACAGTCTTATGTTACTGATAAATAAACTGAAGTTATAAGGTGTATAAAGATAATCATTTTACATGTACATTCCTGAATACAAATAGCCTTTATGTTCATAATAATATGAGCTATTTTGGTAAATAAAAATTTTAAAGTAATGTATTTATATTTATTGCTTCTAGTCAAGCGAGTGCATCAGCTTTGAAGCGCTATGCGAGTGATGAGAGCCTGGTGACGGCAGTACATCGTGGAGACGACGAGCCAGCACCCTGAATTCCTCTCCAGCTTACAACTTGGTCTAATTTCGTGTGATCTCAGCGATCTTTCGCCAGATATTATTCATGGCACTGTTTTAAGGTCATTTTTCTGAAGCCAAAGTTGACTACTTGAGCTTGAATGACGATAACAAGATGTATATTTTGTATTAATTGATTATTATTAGGGCCTGTGCGATCGAGGGAATTTGGTCCATTCTAGATAAGAATTATCTAATTCATTATTTTGAAAAAATCCATCGAATAGTTAACTAAGCTGCATCAAGGGGTGCTGAGTGAGTTTCTCGAGTTATTCTTGTCTGTTCTATTTTCGATAAAGTTTATAAGCTGTCCATGTATGTTTATGTAATATATATAGTATTTATTCTATTGTAATATCACCTCTTATTACATAAGCATCATGGCATAACTGTAAAGGGTAAAGAAAAAAAATATCTACTGCCTATACAGTCCCTCTTTAGCGCAGGCCTTTAGAAACCTTTTCGTTGATTTAATTCATTGATACTTGATATTGGCTTCACGTGACGTACACCATTATGATGTATGTAGACATTTTGTAAATCGCCTAACACCCGGTAATTACACCAGTTATTGATGTTGCGTTTAGATCACTTTAGTGGTGTTGTGGGTTTATTGTGATCGGTTTGGTCTCTTTGAGCTTGTTTTTCAAGTTAAATATTGTGATTTTCTTTTGTAAAATATCAAATAAATATAGTCACTTGTTTGATATATTATTTTTCCATCTGTTGTACCTTTGGTAAACGCCGTACTATAAAAGTTAAGCTTTACATGTGATTAGTTTAAGACAAATATCGTTATATAAAATGTCGTAAACGACAAATGGCGCGTAGCATTCCGCGCGCGCCTCATACAGCCTAGAGGCCACTACAGAAGGGACTTAACAGTGCCATAGTTGTGCAGCAAGCGCAATAATATACCATGACTTTGGCCTGGAGCATACGAAGGAAAGGGGTGGATAATTTTACCGCACAAAAAAAAATAGATGAATTGATATACTGCCTCATTCGTGTATTAATAAATATTATGAAAATAAGACACATCCCCGGCTTAAGCAAATATTCCTTACGATTAGATTCACTACTACTGTGAGAAAACAAACATTGTTGTGTCATATGGCGCAGTAATAAAAATATTGTAGTAAGTATTCTACTGCAAAGTACACTCATTCATCATTCCCATTTATGACCACAGATAATGTGTTGTATGATTCAGTTTGTACGGGTGCGGGGAAGTATGACGATGCACACACAACATCAGAGGATGTTAAACCGTAAAAACGGGATGGGTTTTTACACGAACTTGGCCACATTATACACTATAAGAAGCCATCTCATAGTCGCATGTTTCACTACTGCTTTATACAATGTTAATATATACTTTAAAAAGCAGTATCTATGTTCGTCATCAAAAGTATGTACCAGATTATCTTGGAGAGCAATACAGGAAAATATATCCACGTGTGCAAACATCTTGTCGAGGGTGATGTCCAGAGAATAGCAACAGACGGCACGGCGGATGAATAATAATCATTCAACCATCCGCGTTTACCTTGTCAGGGAAATAAGCACTATACATAATGCAAGTTAGTAATAAACACTATAATGGTGATTCGAGTTTATATCATTGAGATTACAAACAGTACTTATCTAATACACGAACAAGTTTCTTATAGATACTACCTAAAATAATCTCTTGAAGGCACAATTCTATGCAAATTTATATACACCGTGATTTTTTCTAACAATTCAAACTTAGTTAATAACAACTCGACCTTTAAATAAGAATAAGTTACAAATAATTTAATTTAAATATTATAATAGGTCCTGGACCTAATTTACGACTTATAGGTAAGTAGATGCTAGGTAACAATACTTGGTAACTAGGATTACTATGTAATCGTCGTGATGAAACCTTAAATAAAAACATACAAGATTAAATATTACATAGCAACTTAGCTAATTTATTATGTAACATATGGTTTGACTAAAATCGACTAATCTCATTTGAAACATATTTCACAAATAAATGCGATCGAATATACGTTTTGTGACATTCATATAGCACATCAAAATTATCTTAAGTACCTACTTATTAAATCTCTATTTGGTCCCATGTTTTGGAATGACCAATTAACACAATACTGTTATCACACACTCAAAACAATTACAAAAATCAATGACTAACCAATTACCAGTACGAAACGGAATGGGGTCACGAATTTTAACTAGATACTAGATACTTATATCTAGATAAATAGTAATTACATAAATAAATAATTTGATTCTTTCAAAAGATTTCTTTGTTGTATGTTCTTTTAACTAACTCCATGAAGATATCACATTCGCGTGTTACAAAAGGATAGTAAAAAAAGTTATTTTATTTTATGACTCGATTCGATACAACCTCGCGTACCTAGAACAATAAGGCAAGTTCCGCGGATTGGCAAATAGAAAAAACAAATACTCTCTTAATTTGATCGTCAAATAATATTATGGCCACTAAAGTTTTGTAAAACTACTTAATGTTGTCTATAAAGCTCAAAATATGATCTATTTTCTTACGGACGATTGCAGATTGCTTTTAAAATGCTCGTCCGAAACTAGTTAATTATTAAGACGTGATATTTGAGCTATTATAGGCAGTAAACAAAAGTCCAGTACAAAATATTGAAAACGATGAACAAGAGCGGGAACATGATTCGGGAACGCTTGTCGATCCATGTGGCGATCTCCTGGGGCGTCATGGTGGTCCAGTTGTGTTTGGGTGGCTCGTCCGAGCCTTCGCTGCCGTTGCCTCTCTGCTGCTTGCCTCCCTGTCCGATGAGGTCGTCAAAGCTCTGTGTCGTGATAGTCGGTAGATTCATCGCAGATGGGAAGCTCTGTAATTATTAAGAAAACACATAAGACGCTTGCTACAAGGACGAAACGAATGGTGACAAGTGATTGCGATGTTTTATTAACAATGCTACTATATTTTGACAAACTGATAAATCAGAGGATGTAACTTCACAAGGGAAACGAAGAGGTGTGTGGTAGTGTGAATGTGTGTGTACAATTTCCGCATTCCTATAGAAATTTTTAGTCATAGGTAGTAAGTAATGTCTTTATTTGTTTTCATTCAAGACTTACATATGTCATTCTGTTGATTGAGTCATATATTGCACGTGTTGTACTAATATTCAGTACATTTATTGTTAGTTACTTGTCTTATTTGTTAAATGATAACAATTAAATATAATTTATGCGGTCTCTTCACAACATTGTGTCTCGGAGACAGACATTAAATTCAAGAATATGGATATTATATTTCAAATGGGCGAAAATAAAGAGTATACTCTAAATGATGGTGCTTATATTCAGTTTGATAAGACACTTATGGAAAGAGCAAGCAAAGAGCCCAATCCTTCCCCTCCCCCAATCCCTCCTCAATCCCTAAATCTCCAAATCCCTAATCCCTAAAAGGTCGGCAACGCACTCGTAACTACTCCGTTGCGAGTGTCCATGGGCGGCGCTGATTACTTACCATCAGGTAATCCGTCTGATCGCTTGCCGATCGTTTACACAAAAAAAAAATGCAGCAAGAGCTGCAAACAAATCGGCATGGAATTACCACTCTGTTGCCGGCATTTTAGGGATAAAGGTTTCGGAGATTTCGGATTTGGGGATTGAGGAGGGAGGGGGGACGTGGAAGCAATTGGGCCTCCGGTAACCTCTCTCACAACTATACTTGGTACACAGGTAGGTATATAATAAAATAATATAAATACGAAATGACTTACGTGTACGGTAAGGTAGTTGTTGTATCCAGGGCCAGCAGGGTCGGTGCTAGTTTCCTGGTTGAGTGAGGAGCAGGACCGTGACTTGCTAAGCTGCGGTGACGACTCCTGCAACTCCTTCTGCAGCTCCTTGCGAGCCAGCCGCGGTGTCAGCGTGCTCTTTAATATATATTTACTATTTACCTTCTTCAAGCTCACCGCTTTCCTGAAAAGAGAAACAGCGTGTTTTGAAGTCGCTATTATTATTAGAAATCTGAAGTGGTGTGTAGATACTGATAATATGTAAAATCAATGCAGTTAGGCTTGACATATTATTAGTGCCATTATAATTGTTAGACTAAGTAAGACACTCTTATAAAGAATTCCTCAAATTAAAAAGTACGTACTTTCTACGCCAAATGGTGTTGACGAAAGCGAATTCGACTAAGGCGGAGAAGATGAAACCAATACAACCCAGGAACCAAATCTCACTGGCTTTGATGTAGGACACCTTCGGCAATGTCTTCGCCTGGGACGACGCCAGTGTAATGAACGATAACATCGTGCTTGTACCTAGAACGAGACACAAAATACATAAAGTATAAACTCAAAACATGTCTCAGATCTTTATCTGTGTATATTGAACAAGGGCAGAACGTACCTAGTGTTATTCTAGGAGCCGATGCGTCTGCTTGCAGCCAGAACGTCACCCATGACATAGCGACGATCATCATCGAAGGAATGAAGTAATCCATCAAGTAGTAACCCACTTCACGACCCAGTTTAAACGTGAATTTTAAAGCACTGTAATTTCCGGCTGTAAATATTTACAAAAAACATTATTTAATGGCCACTTATTTGATTAATTTTATAATGATGACGTAACAAGAAAAAGTAAATTACATCGTCCTTCGCCGAGGCGCATGTTGACAATATCCCCACGAACAACTGACTCATTCGTCCAAAAATCCAGCAGAGAATATTCCGTTAGATGTAGCTCTGATGATAACCGGACCGGACTGTCTTTTTCCCACATTAGCCTCAAGATGGATGCGTTGTATTTCCCTAAAATTACAAAACAAGGTAAATTATTATTTTCTACGAGCAATTCAGGAGTTTAGCGTATTTGTGTGATTCATATGATTCATATACGTATGACGTTAAAAGAAAGATAATAAGCATTGTAAAATAACAGTTTTACGTAAATGCGTTTGTTTATAAACAGCAAATATATTTAGAGATTAAATGAAAGAATCCTTACAGCTCTCCAAATTCATTGAGCAGGTT